CCGCCTCGACCACCTCTAACGCCTCTGCCACCTTTACTACCTCTGCCGCCTCTACCACCTCTACCTCATAACAAGAATATAATATAAACATATAACAAGTATAACAAGAATATTAATAACAATATTAATAATAACAACTCGGAAAGACACAGAGTACAATAAATACTTTTTGATTACTCATGATTATTATAATTTAAAGTAAACACTCTTTTGTAATTAAATTATTGTCTATCATGCCGCGTGTGTGTCCGTGTTATTATTATAATTATTAATATTGTAATTAATAATCAGCAAAGAAAAACGTTCAGTGAGCGCTTTGCGTTACATTACAAATTGTTGTAAGATTTGTGTTCAACGATATTGAGCACTTTACGCATTTGTAACATGTGTACGGTGCGGTGGAGGAAATTAAAATATTGTATAAAAAATAGTGGCCGCCCCGTTAATGTTGGAAGAACGTAAAACGTTCAGTAAAAAATGTTAGAACAGTTAGTAGCATAGCGCAAAGTGCTCACTGTGCGTTTTGCTCTGCTAAAGGCAACCATTGCGCGCGTTCAGCAGACAACAATTGTACTACTGTTGAGTGATTCGTAAACAACTTACAGTTAATGTAACAGTTGGCATCTGGCCTGCGGCTGCCACCGCCTCTACTGCGATCGGTACCGTTGCCGTCGTCGTCGCCGTCGTCGTCGACGTCGTCGGCATCGTCGCTGCCGTTACCGTCGTCGCCGTCGTTGGCGGCGTCGCCATCGTCACTACCGGCGTCGTCGTCGTCGTCGTCAATACCGACGTCGTCGGCATCATCATCGCCGTTGCTGTTGTCATCACCGTCGGCGTCGGCGTCATCGTCGTCGTCGTCGTCACTAATGACGACGTCGCCGTCGCCGTAGTGGTGGTTGTGGCCGCTGTTGTTGACATGTTCTAAAAAAACCAATAATTACAAAAGTTACCAATACTTAGAAATAATTATATCGTGCAAAGTAAAGACTAAGGCAGAGAACGAGATGTAAACGTCGTAGTCGTAGATATAAGTGAAGACAGAGGAAAACGTAAAGCTAATAGCTTTTCATGACTTACATTAATGTTTTTTACTCTATCTAATTTAACGTGTACGACTACGACACTTACGTTTTCTTTTCTGTGTTAGACCTAACAATATATTTTACTTACACTTCTCCTTCTGGGTCCTGCTCGAACGACTGCTCAAGACTAACTGATTTCTGAAACAATAGCACGCATCGTGTGCGGCGACGACACACGTGCATGCGTGATCCTCGCGTGGCCGTCGCGTTCGGCACGATCAAACATATCACGGAAAAACATTTTTGCATCATATAAGAAAGAAATGCCGACACTTCCCATTGTAAAAAATATAGCAAAATCGGGCTACCGTTTGTACATAGCGAAAAGTGTCGATCCTTGCCACAAATATTCAATAAAAAACACAAGCATATTCAATAAAAAACACATATGCCTACATTAACTCTTATAATATTCTCAGAATGAATATATATTATAAAAACATGCCACTATTACGTATCCACAAATTATATCTCGCATCCGTTGGTAGTGGAAATCTGAACAGACGTTTTCCGTTCGCTGATCTCTCGTTCGTGCAATTAATATAAACGCACTTATCATAAAAACGACGACTCGACATAGTTATAGTTAAATATTTCACAACGTGAAAAACTTAGTTAACACGTGTAAAACACACAAACAATGCGCAAAGATCTGTATAAAATCCGCGTTAAGCGATGTATTATTAAAGATCACTTCTGACCGTAACGTTCCGTAGCGTAACGCTTACTGATCGTCGAAGACAAATCGATGCATTATTTCGCGTTCTCCACGCAAATGTCCATAGCAACGGAAAATTCAAAACTTCCGTCTTTTTAGAGAATAATACTTATAATAATCAATTTATTTTTAAAACGTCCATTTTTTTAATTCTTTATTAATATTTTATTATATATTATATATATATATTTCTTTACTTACAAGGAGATGCCACAACCTGCTAAATCAATTTCTAAACGAGACATAGACACGCAGCGAGCACGTTCGCTAGCTGCGATGTTAAGCATCAACATCTTAATTGGGATTTGTGTCAATGGGCTTTTGTTTGTTAAAAATTATAATATAAAGTTTGAGTTGCGAGACTGTATCACAGATATGACTAAAGATGGAACCGTCTTCCAGAGAGGCGACGTGGCTGAGCAGATTGAAACTCCCACGTCGAACATTTTTAAGTCGGCAGCAAATATTCGAATCCTGGCGACGAAGTTATCTTTAGGCGTTTTTTTTTCTTACCTTAGGGCACGTAATTAATGTTTTCCAGATATGATACATATGTTTTACATATGTTTCGTTTTTATACTATTAACCTTTTAACGACGGGAATGAATTTCAATTGAAATCGACTTCTTATTTTACGCGAAATTTTGCTATAAATGTAATCAATTTCTTATGTGGAGTCGCCAACCTGACGGCTGGTCGATATATTGACCACTCCCGCCGTTAAAAGGTTAATGAAGGGTAATTAGAGAAGC